ATTATTATTGTGTGTGTTTGTGATTGGGGAAAGGAGAGAGAGAGGTAAAGTGTAGGCAGGACTAAAGCTAACGAGAGAGGGTGGGCGGCTTTTGTCGGCGTCACCGCATGCAGCCAGCCAGGTGCTTAAACGTACATGGTATTATCTACATGTAAACCTATCCACAAGTCCAGCAACATACAGGGGCAGTGCTAGGCTCTTTGTTACTGGTCATCAGGGGAGTTCCCAATCTTTCACCATGTCACACGCGTTTCGGCCTCTTTAAACCCCCGACACGTGAGACACTCCAGAAAGGGCGAGGCCACTCCACCTGGTTGGAGTCCAGATTTGCCTACTAGATACATGGCTCCAATTATTAACTAACCTACATTACATATAGGCAATTTTTGTATAGCAGCTACGTATCCTTAGTAATAACTTGCTTCATTTCTTTGGTCTTCTCTATTCTTCACTTCTTTCTTTCTTCACTCTTGCTCCTAACTGAGCTACTACAGGCAAGCTTGGCTGTATTATACGTTGTTGTGGATGTTATGGCTACTAAAGTCAAAACTTTCCCATGCTGTTAATTAGAGTGTGTGTGTGAGTGTTGTGTGATTTGTGAAGAAAGAGAAAAGGAGAAGGGTTAAGGAGAAAGGGGGGGGGAGAAGCAGGGCTGGGAGGGCTTTTGTCCGCATCGCCCGGGCAGCAGCCCAACATTCATGCGGTCTTAGCCTAGGGACTTACTACGCCTGCACCCACGTGCGCAGGAGTATCATAGGTATGTATTCGGCCGGTCATCAGGGAAGTACCTATTTCCGTCATTGTATGACAACGGGTTTCGGTCCCTTTAACTTTCCGACCCGAGGTCAACTCTGGAATAGGCGGGACCACTCCCCAGCAAGGAGTCCGGCATAAAATGTATACTTACATTAGTGTCTATGTTTTATGCTGTATATCTCGCTCACCTTTTCCTCTCTTGACTTTCTCTCTGGCTTGTAACTAAGCAGCTTCTTAGTGCTTGTTGTATTAATAGTCTAGCTAGTTATGAATATTAATAAGTAGTGGTTTTGGCACAGGATGTGGATACTATTGTGACAGCTGATTGTTGAAATACACATATTAATGTGTGTGTGTGTGTGTGTGTGTGTATGCCACACTCCATCTGGAGGAGGAAGCACAAGGTGGGGACAAAGAGCAGCACGCTTTCTCAACTGCTTAGAAGCCTGCTGTAACTGGTTATCACTCTGTTGTACCTGGCTATGGCCCTTCCTAAGTGTTTTGAGAAGCTGTAACTGGTTACAACTCCATGACTCATATTTTGCACCAGGCTGTAACTGGTTACCTCTAGGTTGTAAGCCCTACTGTAACTGGTTCTCACTCTGGTGTACACCTTGCAATGGCCCTTCTTTGACTGCTTATGGCCATGCTGTAACTGGTTACCACTACTACTAGCAGGCAGTTGAGACAGAGGTACAGCATACTCCGTGTTGTTGGTTGTGGTTGTGTCATAAGCGTCCAAATCTTTTCTTTTTCATCTGTAGTCTCCAGACCCACCCCTTAAGAGAGCCGAGGAAATGGAAACGACGAAAGAAGGAACTGAGGAGGTGGAACAGGGGAAAGAGAAGGAGGGAAAGAGAGTAAGAACCGTAGTTGGAATGAGAGTCCAAACCCTTTACTCGATCTTTCTGTATGTTCTCTCTGTTAACTTACCACTAATTGGTTTCCACACTGTTAGCTGTTCTGTGTTCCTTCCCTCGTTTCCAGGGGAAGAAGAGAAAGAAAGGGGAAGAGGAGCGAGGAAAGGGAAAGGGAGAAAAGACCGTATGAACAGTTGCTTCGGACAGCAGTTATGTAAGCTAAGTGGTTTCCATGACGGCAGGTCCCCCCCGTAACTGGTTAGACTGTGCTGCAACTGGTTACCCCATTGTGTTGATCTATAACCCTGCTAGAGTTGGGTAGTGCCTGCAGTTGGTTATAGGTGCTAGAACCCTGCTGTCTCTGCTGTTAGTTACAATAGGGGCACAAAAGGTGTTGCGTCAGGCCAAAGGAGGTCTTCTCTGTCAAACTGAGGCGAACCCTTTTTTTAAATTCTCTGTACCTGGCTATCGCCTTTCCGTAACTTGTAACCATGCTGTAACTGGTTACAACTCGATGCTTCCTTTTGTGTAGCTACCAGGCTGTAACTAATTACCACTAACGTATAACTGCCTAGAGCCTTACTGTAACTTGTTAGCTTGCTGTTTTACCTGGATAGGGCCCTTCTGTAACTGGTTACGACTATGCTGTATCTGGTTACCACTATGTTGTAACTGGCTGGAGTCCTGGTGTAACTGGTTATCACTCAGTTGTACCTGGCTATAGCCCTTTTCTGCAACAGGTGGTTATGACCATGCTGTAACTTATTGTAACAGCCTAGAGCTTGTACCTGCCTACGGCCCAACTGTAGCTGTTTATGTAATGGCCATGCTGTAACTGGTTTTCGCTCTTTTGTACGAATCTAGGGCCCTTCCATAAGTGGGTTATGGCCGATGCTGCAACTTGTTACCACTCTGTTGTAACCCCAGCTGTAAAGGTAATCACAAAGTTGTACTTGTCTATGGCCCTTTTATAAGTGGTTATTGTCCTCCTGTACCTGGTAAGCTTGCTGTTGGCCCTTCGTTAACCTGGATTTACCCCTTCCATAACTAGCGCGCACTGCAATGTGGAAAATCAGCTCCACCCCCAATCTTTTGCCAGCAGTGACATAGTGACCATACTCCGGTAGTTAGCATTATAAGTGCAGCTCCTCCTTCTCGGCGTACTCCCCCGCCTACTCCCCCATAATTAATATATACCACATGTCTTTTCCAGGACCTGTTTGAACAATTGAGAACCAGCTATTTACCATCAGTCCATAGTAAGTCTTCATGCTGAGTTTACGTATAAAAGTCCAGCGCTGCCTTGAAGCTGGGCATTTTAGTCAGGATGGCTATGAGCAGTCGGTGGAGTCATTGATGGAGCAGTCCTAAACTATACCTAACTTTAGGTTCGAATTGACCAATCAGATTGCAAAGCCGAGGTTTACTATTTCCCGTAGTAAACCTCGACGGGGTTTACTACATGTAGTAAACCTACAGAAACTACAAAACCTACAGATAAAACAGGAAAACATAACAAAATGTACATGTAAACAACAAGATCAACAACTGCATTGACGCGTCGTCCACGCGCACGCGCAGACCGTCGACACGCGCACAACCAGAAAAAGAAGGCGGAGTCGCTACCGCGTGTCCTCGGCCGCTTCGCTCTTCTTGCACTGCATTTTCTGGTGCTCTGAGCCTGCCTCCATCGAGTGATCGTTAGAAGCGCTCCGCCATACGAAGGAACAGGAAAGCCAGAGCGCTCAACGTGAAGCGCTCACTCTAAAATAGTTAGACGCTGATTCCTCGGTAACCACGCGCCGGCCGGTAGAAAGTTTCGTGCCCCGGGGGTAGCGCCCTCGCTGCGCTCGGGGAGCCACAATGCCGGGGCTCTCGGCTTTCTACTGCGCGTAGTTACCTCGAATCAGCGTCAACTTTTATTCCATATAATTATAGTCTGCAGAGGCCGCGCTTTTTGGAACCCTCGGCGCGCATACGCAGCGAGGGTTGCAGCAGTCGTTCTGTCCGTGTGTGTGTGTGTCGACGCTTATTCTGGAACTACAGGCTACGAGGTGGCCAATGAGCGATACCAACGGCTTCAGAACTATATACGCGAACCTGAAAATCAATTAGGCGATTTTCCTGAAACGACTGCGTTCGAAAGATATGCCGTGAAAACAAGCGAAAAAGCCAATATGCATAATCGCGCTGGCTTACCTCGAACTGATCGGCCGACTCCGCGTACCTTGGAGGCACAAGAAGTTACAACAGAGGGTGTGTATCGACTCCCGCATGCAGTATACTAGTGTAGCTAGCCCGTGTCAGACTCTCCACGAGCTACTTGCGGGAGACCACGAGCAACTCAATTAGCGATACCGCGCATGCGTAGTGCGCCGAGGGTTTGCACTTTAGTGCTTTTCATTGTCATAGTAAACGCTTGGGACTGCCCTGAGATGGCTGCAGGGTCCTCATCTTGGCAAAGTTTTTGAACGGAACCAGGCATAGTCAGTGTAGGACATGGTAACATGGTTCAGGTAGCTACATAGCCAGCGCCTTTTCTCTGACGAACGGCCAGGACTGGAGGCAATCCTGACAAGATAGGGATCCCAAGAGTGTCCCACTACCATGTTGGACCAACTTTTATGCTAAACTCTTACAAACCCTTCAGTACAAAGCCAGTCCAGCTAGAGTCCACAGGCCAGCTTTTGTAGTGTCCCGTGAGCTGCACACGCGTAGATAATTCCATACCGCACACACACAGAGGTGCTGTTCTATGTCGAAAGTGGCTCCAACAAAATATGTGTGGCCACGGCGATCACATGCGAGCAAATAATTATTGTGTATATCAACTCGCGTGTTCCTTTTACACTTTAGTTCTACCTGTTGCTGATAACAATATAAAACACAAAACATCGGTGGAAATTGAACATAGAACAAAAGCTATTTGCTATATACACATAAATAAAACTCTTCATGTTTCAGATTGGTCTTGTGGATGGCAAATAGTTCTTAATTGTCCAAACAGGTCCTGGAAAACACATAGAACACACATGGTATATTCACAGCTTTTTTTACTTCGTATTTCAAACCTTAAAATATTGCCTTAGGTATCTTGGCTCCAGTTCAGATATGTGTCTGATGAAGTCCTGCAAAAATACAATGTATTATATCACGTGATCCCACATTAACTCTCTGTGTAGGGATGGTAATCTCAACATCATTGCAATGAGGCACTAAGCCTTTATGAATGAAAAGCACTAAAGTGCAAACCCTCGGCGAACTGCGCATGTGACGTACCGCTAATACCTGGTCTGTGAGAGCTATATAGCAGGAGGCTTATGGTGTATTCGCTCGACTGACGCTTAAGCTATCTCAACCACAAGTGTATGTCCGTCGTCTTTTGTCTTACTTCGTTGTTGTGCGCCTGTCTGTCCGCCCGGTCCTAGAATTGACGTGTTCAATCGTGCCCGTGTCGACCTGGAGCTCCCGAGAGAATGGTTGTCCTCCTCTCTGCAGCCTGCATACTCTGAAGTCCAGCTGGCTGATATCTTGTTATGTCTCTTCGAGGACGCGATAAGAGTGAACAGCAAAGACATTCTGGTACGGCGACCCTCTCTGTCTGCCACCCCGCCATCTCCTCCTGTACTGTCGTTTGCAGCCGCTGAACAGCCGCCAGAACTCAACTCCGGGACCAGTATGGATGTAATGGTGACTATGCTTCATTGCAGAGCGACATTACCCGCCTCAAGAATGAGGTAGCCAACATCCAACGCGAGCTAATGTCCTTAAAATGTAAGTCTACTCAGTCTGGCACCACTGATTCATGCCTTTTGTTTGTGAAATTGTCTGCATTTACTGGCATGTCCATACGGCGGTCGGAAGTTGAGAATTTACTTCAGTGTCCGATCCTCAACTACATTATCATTCGTGAATCGCCAGTGATGGTTCTAAAGGTAAAAATGTCAACTGCACACTGCCCTGTCTCGTCACCGAGCACTGGCTCTGGCCATATGAAGCTAAACGGCTTAGTGAGGTCCATCCTGCCTTTGCTGCCGAATGTTCCACAGATTCGCGACTGAGAAGTCTGATCTGGCTAGAGGTTATGGTGGGGTTGGGGTTATGTTTCGGAAGTCGCTCAACGTCTCTCCAATTCCCAACATAGCAAGTGATCGCATATGCGGTATAAGGGTTCATTTGACCTCACCTGAACCATCGTGCATCACAGTACTTGGGGTGTATCTCCCGTGTGCCGACCAGGGTATGTAATGCCCTACTTGAACTTGAGCAGCTTATATCCACGAACTGAAGTCACTGATTGCCGGGGACTTAAATGCTCACCTGGGTCCTCTAGGCGGACGCAGGGGACTAATCAGCAGGGTGTTTTGTTACATCAGCTTGTTAAGCGATGTGATCTCTCTCTCGAGCATCAGTGTTGCCCCACAGTATACCTTTTGGAATTCCCTAACTCGAACCTTGGTGGACTACATAATCGGTTGTCTGCAGGCCTCACAATTTTTACAGAGCTGTTTTACACACGAACTTTCACCCCTTAACACTTCTGATCATCTTCCAATCTCTACAGTTCTCCAAATCCCTGTAGACAGTCGCAGACTCCATGATTCACTGCAGGATCAGAGGATCGACTGGGTCAAAGCTCGTATCAAGAACTGGTGTCATCAGTAGTCCATCCACTGCTTGGAAGAATGTACGATTCTCCCGAAGGACAATGAAATCATCTTTGTTTCCCCGCAGCTGGTCCAGGCAGCCCGCCATACCTTGCCCACTTTGTCACCAACAACAAAGAGAAAAAAGTGGTTTAAAGATCAGGAACTCTCTCGCCTTGCAGCACGTAAGAAAGCTGCTTGGGATAAATGGTCTTCTAGCAGACGCCCAGAAGCAGGTCCTCTCTATGAAGATAAGATCAGGTCTCGCACCGAGTTCAGAAAGAGGATGAACATCTGCGCTGCAAACGCTGAGAGTGTTATAAGTCCAGACAATTGATCAGAAATTCAAACAGAAACGCTCCAACCGCTTGAGGACATCATAGTCTACAAACCATGGCTCAACACTTCATCTTAATGGATCCATTATCTCTGATCCTCCGAATGCCTGGGAGGACCACTTCAAAGGAATCAGTGCATGCCCACTCTCCTCCTGGAGGCGGAACAGCAAATGGTTCATATCGTGTACAGCTCAAGGGAGAATGAAGACTGTCCTGGACACCCCATTTACTTCAGAGGAGATCGATTGTGGCTTGAAACCATCTGCCGGACACGATTAGGTACAATCCGAACATCTGAAGTATGGTGGTGCTGCTCTCAGCTTTTGTATCAAGCAGGTTGCCAATGCTATAATTGAGCTTGAATCTGTACCTCAGTCATTGAAGCTTGGGATTGTGATCCCTCTGTACAAGGGCGGTGGCAAAGATCCTTTAGAAACCAACAGTTACCGTGGCATCACGTTATCACCAGCCCTAGCCAAAGTGTTGGAGTCTCTGATCCATGGATGGCTGAGTGATGTTGTGGCTGAGAGTGGGTTACCGCATATAAATCAGACAGCGTACAGAAGAACATATCCTCTGCTGAAGCCATCTTATCCACTCTAGAGATCGTGTCCAAGTACTGCAAAAAGATGATCTCATGTACATGTGTTTCTATGACCTTCAAAGAGCCTTTGACTCTGTCCAGTACCCAATAGCAAGGCATGGAGACTAATTCGGAACTGGTATGTCGATCCGAAGTGCATGGTTAGAATAAACGGTTGCCTGTGATCAACGTTCACAATTGAACGTGACCACCTCTCTTTCGTCCAAGAATGTGTCTCTCTTGAAGATAAACTCGGACTAAAGCTCTGGGACATGGCGTTGGATCAGCGTTTACTCGTGGTCTTCTGCTAGTTATAGCTCGCGGAGAGTCTGATACGGGCTAGCTATAGTAGTAGATAGCATGCGGGAGTCGATACACGGCTTTCATTGTGGCTTCTTGTGCCTCCGAGGTACAAGCAAGCGGATCAAGTCGAGGTAAGCCAGTGCTAATTAGCATATTGGCTTGTTCACTCGGTTTTCACGCCATAACTTTAGAACGCAGTATTTATACGAAAATCGCTATTTAAGTCCGTCAGATGATGGTGTGAGAGAAGGAGTCCGACGAAGCCACATGGTGGCATACACGACGGGTCGACAGCGCACAAAATTCTGCGTATGTTTGTGAACATGAGCGCACCCGCGTGTCATCACCAGTTCACCCGATTGACGAGTCACCCGTTTTCTTGTCCATGGATCAGTCTTCGCCACCGGAGAGTGTGCAACAAACGCAGATGTAGTTGCAAGTACGAGAGTATGTATAATCCTGTGGGAAAATAAAATTAATGAAACATTTTTTGCGTAGTATTACATGGTAGATTATGAGAACACCTGTTCATTCGGTACGGCATCACCGAAGGGCAGAGAGAAGTCGAATTTTGCTACAACTGGAAGCATATGTGGACGGAGATAACGCCGGCTACTTCACACGTGTTACACAAGAGATTCGAATGACATTTGGTGCGGGAGGGTTCATGTGCTCTTTTTCAGATTTGACGCGTGTTTATATTGCAAACTCAGACAAGTATACTTGGAAGCGGTGTTCTTGTGAAATTAGACCTTTTCCAAAAAGCCGCAAAAAGGATAACTAGTACTTCGCACAAAGTGCACTCACTCACCCGTTAATGTATAGAGGACCTCCAGTTAGTATTCGGGGACAGTGGTAAGAAACGAATGCTGGCCACATATAAACCAGAGGAGATTACCACCAAAATCAAACATTCTTTCACGCCATAACTTCTGAACGCGGCACTTTTACGAAAATCCGCCATTTTAAAAACAAAGCCAGTGTAGCGCTGAACTTCAAATTCCAAAGACAGGGAAGGAAGGTTTTCACACCTGATACTGCAGAGGCTATAAGAAAACTGAAGGACCACATCTCCCTATATCCCCCCAGGGGGTGGAACAAATCGCAATGAACAGCTCCATCACCACCTAAACTCACTCTTCTCCAGAACAAAACTAGGAGTTCGGTTAGCCTATGCTTTATTTACAATAGTATTACATGCATACAACCCCTCTTTTGAGAATGCGATAAATGAGATATATCCATCTGAGCACAACAACAACGGAGAATAGTGGTATGGTTTCATACTTGGATGTCGGCATTATAATAAAAGATGGACATTACACCACCACCGTCTATGATAAGAGAGATACAGTACCGCTCAAATTGCCGCTATTACCCCGCAGTACCACTAGCAGAACTTCTGCTAACGTAAGAAGATTATTTCACTGTACTTCAGGTAACTGCGGTTGTCTGAAGTTGTGTCAGAAGTTGGGAGGTACTGTGGCTACTCAAACAAACATCATTTCACCCACACCCAGCCAGCCATGCAGGTGCACACTTCAGCTGAACTTCAGCTGCTGAAGTGTGTGGTATCTGGGTAGTTCCTTGTGGTTACCCTCGGCGCGCAAACGCAGCGAGGGTACTGTAGTTGGGTCTGTCTGTTTGTCTGTCTGTTACTCTATATCTCACTCCTCAAACGTCTGTTCGTCCCAGAAACGATACCATCTACCCAACGGGCGACGAAGGTCAGAAAATAAAGGCGGTTTTCCTCTGAAAATGCTCCGTTGCAAAGCTAGAGCCCGAAAAAGCCAATATGCAAATACACAACGGACGGGATGGCTTACCACAGTCGGATCGATCCGCGTGCTCTGCGTACTTCGGAGGCACCAGAAGATGCAACGCAGGGCGTGTATCGCCTCTCGCATGCTATCTAGTAGTGTACTTAGCCTGCGTCAGACTCTGCGCGAGCTGGCAAGAGACCACGAGTAACAGCTAAAACTAAACCCAGCCCATCAATTAGTGGTACGGCGCATGCGTTTACTTACGCGTGCGCGTCACAGTGCGCCGAGGGTTTGCACTTCAGTGCTTTTCATTCATTCTGGTTTCTCACCAACCTGCCCAGCTAGGCTTGACAATAGCTACAGGGTATAAAAGAGCCCCAGTTTCTAAGCCAGACTTAGTTGAGTAGTCTTAGAAAGTTAGAGCAGTCCTGAGATGTGTGAGGAAGAAGGGTTCGTATGGGTGACGTGGGTGGGAAACAAGAACTCTTCATACAATAACAAGACTCACAAGATCCCCAAAGAAACTCTGGTTGATCCTCCAGCAAAGTTGGAGGTTGGAACACCAGTGCAAGTGTATTGGGACAAAGATAGGTTTCGAAAGTTTTGGAGTGCTGTAATAGCAGAGCCAAAGAAGGCAGCGAAAACGAAAACGTGACATTGAGACAAAAGATGGTAAGTTTTTAAGACTACTAATAGTATACTTATTAAAAACCATTTATACAGATCACAATTCAAGAGCACCACAGGGAGATAGAAAGGGAAAAAAACTTGCTACATGCAAATTCATTGATGATGGTAAGTGGCATTAGTGTTTTTTAATGTGATACAGAGACATTTGTAATAAAATATTTTCACTCACAGGGTGCTCTTCTGATATTTCCCAGCACATCAAACAGCTGTGCAGACATTACCACCCAAGTGTACATCCACATCGTCTCAAAAACAGAAGGTACTACAACTCTGAAATCTCTACATTTGATTTGTTTGAACACTAAATACGTAGCTTTTGTTTCACTTGTGGCACACCTTTTTTTAATCTTACATTTAACAGGATGTTCCTTGAAGATGGTGAATCAGTCTGTACAGACATTTCCAACAGAGTCAACAACCACCTCATCCCAAACAGAAGCCTACTGCGATACAGGTCCAAACCTATGCACTGGTATATCAAAATTTAGGCTGTTTTCCATAATTTTGTGTTGCTTACAACACATTTCTTCCCTTTTTAGATACTCTGACCTCCATTCTAAAAAAATATTGAAAACGCACTATCTATCTCCAAACTCTCTGAACCATCTACCGTCACACAGCAACCACAGCCTCTCCAGCCATACACACAACAATTGCCAACTGTTCTCCAGTCGCAGCCTCTCCAGTGCCAGCCTCTCCAGTCGCAGCCTCTCCAGTGCAGCCTCTCCAGTCGCAGCCTCTCCAGTCGCAGTCTCTCCAGTCGCAGCCTCTCCAGTCGCAGCCTCTCCAGTGCCAGCCTCTCCAGTCGCAGCCTCTCCAGTGCCAGCCTCTCCAGTCGCAGCCTCTCCAGTCGCAGCCTCTCCAGTGCCAGCCTCTCCAGTCGCAGTCTCTCCAGTCGCAGTCTCTCCAGTCGCAGCCTCTCCAGTGCCAGCCTCTCCAGTCGCAGCCTCTCCAGTGCCAGCCTCTCCAGTGCCAGCCTCTCCAGTCGCAGCCTCTCCAGTGCCAGCCTCTCCAGTCGCAGCCTCTCCAGTCGCAGCCTCTCCAGCAATACAAGACACAACAGCTGCAAAGCGCTCTACCACCACAACAGCTAATGATAGACCCCCACTGCCCAGGTACTCATGTACATGGAATGTACAGACAGTACTGTCATATACATCATCATGGGGCAACAATCACTCCTTGTCATTGAAACAGTTGAGTTGGAAAACAGCAATGCTACTAGCGTTGACACGCCCGTCTAGGTCAGCTGATCTATCTCAGCTAAGTTTACATGGGAAGCAGTATAAGCCAGAAGGTGTGACTTTCACACCAAGCAGTCTGGCTAAGCAATCCAGACAAGGGAAACCAATAACCGAGTTTTTCTTCCCTTCCTTCCCACACGATCCTGCTAAAGGCCTATGAGGACCGCACAGCTCCGTATAGGGGGGGGGTGAACTGAGGTTATTTCTGCCTCTCATTAACCCATACAAGATGGCTCAAATCTCTGCTGGGAGCAGCAGGAATTGATACCTCTCTGTTTAGTGCCCACTCAGTACGAGGGGCATCGTCCTCAGCAGCTGCAAACTTGGGGATTACGACTAATGATATACTAAAGGCTGCGGACAGGAGTTCTGAGTCTGTTTTTCAGAGGTTTTATTACAGACCGACAGAAGATCCCTGATACTAGGCACTGAGTGGTCTCGTTGAGAAGGGAGAGCGGAGCTCTTGATCCTTGAGTAATGGAAGAGCGAAGCTCTTGAGCTTAGCAAAAGGAACCCATGGGGAAAGCCTATAGTAGGCTTGCTACAAACAACACTGTCGATACGGAGACGGAGCCTTGCGAAATACAATTCGAGAATGGCTCAGACCACGCAGTGGTTGCAAGCTATTCAGAGTTGTAGGAGGAAGGTGAGGTTAAAATATCAACGGTCCCTCCCACCCTCCCTGTGTTTAAGTAAGGGTGAAAGATGAGGAGTATAAGCTAAGGGGTTGGGTTATGTTGCTGGTACGCAACAGGTGAGGAGAAAAAGCATGCAGTATGGCGAGCTAATCCAAAGGCCGAGGTTGCAAGGAATTGTGGGGCTTTTATAGTTGTACGTAATGAAGCCACACCCCCGGAAATGTGGAAGTCATTACGCAATTGCTACTAAATTTAGCTGTTTGAACAGGAAAACTGGCCATACACCGTTGATATTTCAACCTCACCTTCCTCATACAACTCTGAATAGCTTGCAACCACTGCGTGGTCTGAGCCATTCTCGAATTATTTTGATACCTTTTACCTTTTGATAACTTTTATACCGCCAGTGTCCATACTGTCTCTAGTCATTTCACCGCCATCGTACTTCAGCTCACGTGTTTTTGCAAGTCCCAAGTAAGCCTTTATGGTTATATGTATGTTACTTCTGAAGTCCTGCTTTCTTTCTCTTTTTCTTTCTTTCTTTCTACATATATGTATATAGCGTTAGCTGTTCAGTGTTCATACAACTCAGCAGAAAAGAAGCATTGTCATGTTGTTACCAAGGCGATAAACTCCAGCCCTCTACGTAACTGACCAATGCTTCATGTGAAGCCAATTGCCATTACCCAAAGTAATAGAAAGTATGGAAATGTCTTCAAGAGATTATTGGGAGATTGATGTATCAGAGAACACTCTCGATATGGAATTGGTTGTCCCAGTATTCAAGTGCTCGATACACAAGCACAAAGTTATGCATATTTTTGAAAGTGATGGGTTTGTCAAGGCTACAAAAGTCAAGTTCACATTTTCAACGATTTCACACAACACATGTCAATGAATGTGGCAAGAGTACAGACGTGAGTACAGACTTGAGACAAACTCTCTTTGCATATGGTCTACGTCTTCAACCATTCAAGTACACATTCTACTATCCATTCTAGTGCTCATTCTACTGTTCATTCTATTGGGGAGATGGAAATTGCATATATATAACATGTTATTTGACTTGAGAGTGTGGGATCACTGTCTGTCTTTAGCTGGGACAAGTACCTCTGAAATAACTGTAGAAAGGCTTTCGGGACTGTTGAGGGAGGTTTATGTTACTGAACTTCTTGGAGAAGAAAGTGCACAGTGTGAATCCCTTTTTTCCCCATTCAAGCTTTGACTATGAAACGGAAGCAAATAGGTTCCGTTAGGATGGCTATTTTAACAGTGACCTTGGAGACACCATGCCTCTGGCATTGGCAACAGCGCTACAGTTCCCTCTTATTATTTTCCCCCAGCCACAGCAACACTCCAGTCATGTATGTCACTCCCGACTTGGTGACAACAGAAGCAACGCTTTTGTTGTTCATACACGCATTGGTTTGGGCCATTATGATGCTGCTACTCCCTGTCACAAGCCTTCACAGGAACAGAATACATTCATACGATGCAGTTGTGGTGTAAACAAAAAAGATTCTGTAAACCTAATGCTGTGTACATGCATGACTAGGTGTAAGTGTTACAAACATTCCACGCCATGTACATCCCTCTGCCGTTGTGTTAATTTTTCTAACCTAAGTGGAGCCAGGATACTGCACTCAAAAGGAACTCGTACCACAACCAAAAGAAAAAAACATTTTCAAGTAGATCTACTGCAAAGCAAGCAGTTTGCCCAAGAGGGGAGGGGAGACTATTGCTGAGGCTATTTGGTTTGAGTTTGAGACAGTCGTTCTCTATGAAGTGTGCCAGAAGGTAAAAAATGTGGATGCTGTTGTAAAGCTACATAATGACATCGTATATCACTCCGGTATATCCTACTGTGTGGAACGTCTTCCACAAATCAGACAAAACAGAGGAGCTCAGATAATTGGCAAGAGGAGGAGTGAACTATACTTGCAGTAAAAGTTATCAAAATGATTACTAGTATTATATTACCCAACTATCATCATACAATGTATGGTTGATCATCATTTTTAAAGTTACAACAGCATTACACCATAACTCTAGATTCACTCAACAAAACACCCGTATCAGTGATTATTTATTATTACCCTCACCTTTACCATTATTATTACCTGAAAATTTATCAAGATATTGTAATCAAGTATCTTACAAGTATTTATTACGAAGGAGGTAGACATAGCCACCACATACGCCTGTCTCACCAGTATTTAGATCTAAAATCGCGCAATTTCGTTGGTCCAAATGCGGGTTCAATTTTCAGTAGATCCCCTGCCCCAGACGACGGGATCTATTGGGGAGCATACGCATCTCTTCACTCGTTTTGGTGGAGCTAAGCGTGAAGGAACAAGTGGGGAGACCTGAGAGGCTAGTAGAGACTTGAGAGACTAGTAGACCTGAGAGACTAGTGGAGGCCAGTAGAGACCAGGGAGACTAGTGGAGACCAGTAGAGACCTGAGAGACAAGTGGAGACCTGAGAGGCTAGTGGAGACCAGTAGAGACCTGAGACTCTAGTGGAGACCAGTTGAGACCTGAGAGACTAGTGGAGACTAGTAGAGACCTGAGAGACTAGGGGACACCAGTAGAGACAAGGGAGACCTGAGAGACTAGTGGAGGCGAGTAGAGACCAGGGAGACTAGTGGAGACCAGTAGAGACCTGAGAGACAAGTGGAGACCTGAGAGGCTAGTGGAGACCAGTAGAGACCTGAGACTAGTGGAGACCAGTTGAGACCTGAGACACAAGTGGAGACCTGAGAGGCTAGTGGAGACGAGACCAGTTGAGACCTGAGAGACAAGTGGAGTCCAGCAGAGACCTGAGAGACCAGTAGAGACCTGAGAGACCAGTGGAGACCAGTAGAGACCTGAGAGACTAGTGGAGACCAGTAGAGGCTAGTAGAGACTGGTAGTTACCTGAAAGACTGGTGGAGACCAGTAGAGACCTGAGAGACTGGTGGAGACCAGTAGAGACTAGTGGAGACTGGTGGAGACCAGTAGAGACTTGAGAGACTAGTGGAGACCTGAGACACTGGTGGAGACCAGTAGAGACCTGAGAGACTAGGTGGAGACCAGTAGAGATCCGGAGACTAGTTGAGACTAGTAGAGACCTGAGATGGAGACCAGTAGAGACTTGAGAGACTAGTGGAGACCAGTAGAGACCTGAGAGACTAGTAGAGACCTGTGAGACTGGGAGAGACTATATAGGGGACAGTGGAACAGTACTTAAATAGCAGACTTCGCATATTTGGTGATTCTTATATGAAGTAACTACCGTAATGTCTAAGAGAGCCAGTAACAGTCACAATCCTACATGACTTGCCCCCAGCAAGCGCTGTACTGTCTTTGCCAGTGGAGTACTTGTTTGCTATGCAAGTAGTGTATTTGCTCAAGTTCACGGACAGAGGAGGTGCAGGATTAGGATTTGGTTATTGAAAATCAAATTTTTAGAGGCGTGAATTACCCAGCGCCAAACCCAAATGGTCAAGAGCAGCATGGATGCCTTGTTAACCCTCTGCGCGCATGCGCAGCGGGGGTTACTGTAGTTGTCGTGTATGTCTGTCTGTCCACACCCAAACTCCCTTCACGAGCCATGAATCGGTCCACAAACAACATCACGTATTCAGCGCTGGGTAGCAGGTTGAAAAATGTGGGGTTTTCTCTGAAACTGCTGCTTGGAGGCACCAGAGGTTGCAATGCGGGGCGTGTATCGACTCTCGTGTGTTATCTAGCAGTGTAGCTAGCCTGTTACTGACTCTCGGCGACCTGGTAGGAGACCATGAGTATGTCATATGGACCAGCCCGTAGCAGTACAACACATGCGCGT